ACATTACAAAAAAGCGCATATAAAAATCTAGTTTTAAATAAATAAATCATTTTGACATAGGATTGGTGATTTTGTTTCGAAAACATTCGCAAATTAGTTCTAATTTATTATAGCTTACACAACGAGCCCATCTAGTATTGGGTTCAGATATCACTATAAATTTAATTCAGCTACTATACTTTTAAGCTAATAATTTATAGTATTTGAATAGCTGTATAGTCTTTGATATAGTCTTCGTAAATGAATCAAACATGTTTTTTTCCTGAAAAGATCAACGTACCGTTTACATAACGGATATTTATTTTTAAGCGAACTCACGATTTTGCCGCCTGCTGTGAAGTTGTTATTAGAGCCCATGGGCATCAATCAATCACAACATGATTTCCTCTACATATACATTCTAACACGTGCTTTAACCTAAAATTTAAGCTTTAAAATTGCATATCCTAATAAAAGAATCTATGAAGAATGTATTTCTATTTTATCTTTTTTTTTATTGCTTAAATGGGTGGACGAGCTCACAGCCCACCTGGTGTTAAGTGGTTACTGGAGCCCATAGATCTACAACGTAAATGCCCCACCCACCTTAAGATATAAGTTCTAAGGTCTCAGTATAGTTACAACAGCTGCCCCACCCTTCAAACCGAAACGCATTACTGCTTCACGGCAGAAATAGGCAGGGTGGTGGTACCTCCCGTGCGGACTCACAAGAGGTCCTATCACCAGTGAGTTATCTAGTAAAATGTTTCTTTTTTAATTCGTCACTGATCTGGCCACCGAAACGGAAGGCACTCATTAAGTAGACGCATGTCATATTTGTAACCTGTCAACTGATCGCTATCGATCGATCAAATTACGTATTATGTATAGAAATTCGATATGTCAAAATCGATTTATCAAAGTTCGAGGTGGTTTCTGAAAAGTGTCAGTTTGTGAGCACGATCATAATATGACATGTAATAATTAACCAATCCGTATCAAATTTTTTTACCCATTGTCGATGCAATATTGTATCGTACTGATAGAACATACGTTATATTGAACCCGAGTAAATCATTTAAAAAAAAATATTTGTGTACCAAAAAATTTGTATTAAAACGTAAGATATTTTAATAGTTTTCTAAATTTGTCACTTAAGTAAATTGGATTTTTTTTCTGGGTGACGAGCCGACGGTCTAAATATGTAGTATTGCTGCTGTTTCTATCCACTGAGTTTTTCGCCGGATCTTCTGAGTGGGTCGCGATCACTGCTCTTGGTAGGGCTAATGTTAGAAAATTCTCTCAGGTTGAGCCCGTGAGCTGACCTACCGGTCCCCACGATGTTGGAATAGGCTACCAACGATGAGGTACGGGGAAAAAGACACTTTTTGGCGTCCATAGATATCGCATCGGGAATGGTTATTGAGACTATTGGTCTAAGTTTTAAGCCATACAAGCCTCAAAACTGAAATACATAACGCAGTTTTGGACAGTTAAAAACTATTGGCGTTCGGATTTGTAGACATGCTACATAATCACATCACCTGAAAATAACCGTGTGCATAATTCACACCGCGATAAAAATAGCATTATTTTTTTCTTAATTAAGTATTAAAATATATTTTAATTTAATTTTCTTTCTTCTTTTTTTTCTTTTAGCATTAATTTTAGCATCAATGTTTCACATCACTATAATATTGTGTTCAACTTGTTTGGCGTTCAAATGCGTATTTCATTTGCAGATATTTTCCGGTATTTATATCGCAAAAACTTCAACTTGTTTTTGTTTCAACTTTGTTGTCCGTAAAACATTATGCTTAATATAATGATAGCAAACATGAATTATGTTAGTGCCTAGAGCGTGTAACATTAAAACAAAAAAAGCACGTCTAAAAATATCTTCAAAATCATTCTCTCATACTCTAAGGACTTCGTCAAGCTTATATTTCTAAGTACCCAATTGTGTAGTTGATCGATTTCGGACCTTGTTTAAAGTACAATTAGATATATTATTGATTCAAATTTTCAATGATAATTGAGATCTTCTTTTGTCCTTTTCCCGCAACTCTAATGCTGTCATACTATAATTGATATCGGGCTGTCAAAACTTGACGTCAATATACAAGATTGTGTGCGCTTTGCATGAAATTAAGACCCTAATACGAGGAATAAATGTACATACATGGAATATTATTTCTAAATATTCGTATTTCTTCAATCTATTTTCGTAAATGAGTCGACTATTATCAAAGCCGGCAATCTGACTTTTGGACAATGATTGGTAAATCAGAAAAACGAATTATTGACTTTGTATTCCATTGGCAGTCACAAAACTCTTCGAAACGACATCTTAGATAAATAACAAGTTAACTATTAACCTTTATTTACTGCAGGTTTTGAACCGTATTCTTTGAAGGAGACGATTATATTCAAATCAATCTGTATTGACATATCAATAAATTTTTTTTGTCCAAATGCACAGATTGCCACCTTTGATAATAGACGACTCAAATGTACTATTTGTTTTCCTATCTTTTCATCAATAGCGGAATTATATGACAGTCTTTGTAAATATATTTCATATTACATAATATATTTAGACGTGCGACTGTAAACTGTGAAGTGACTGGTTTTATTTATTTACAAATAATTTTAATAACGAGTGTCAGCATAGCACCCGAAATTCGACCATAATCATTAAGTTCTCAAGATTTAGTTTCGTTTTACGTACCACAAAATTATTCTTTTATGTTTTGTAACTAACGTTTTGACGAAATAAAGTAGATGTAGGTGGTAGTCATTTTTTAAACCTGATGACTGGACGCAAATAATATTATAATATATATCGAAATGTCATCAATCCTTGTATTGTGAGTCAATATTCAAATAGGACGTGTCGAGATTAATCGAAATTATGTTGAAAGACTCTATTACATAGGTCGATACAGGTCAAGCTAGTAAAGGCGTGTTGAAAACGGACTACTTAAAAAAATATATTAATATTAATATAAGATATTAATATTTTAGGCAGCGGCTTGGCTCTGACATTGCTGAAGTCCATGGGCGACGGTAATCACTCACCATCAGGTGGACCGTAAACTCGTCTGCCTACAAGAGCAATAAATAAATAAATAGTAACAACAAAACTCGTCAAATAAAGTCTATTATCCAACTGTGTTGTCTTAGCATACTTATATTATATCATTTAGAGTATCGCATCGATATTAATCAAACAAGCTATGCTACAATAGAAAAATGTCTCTATTTAATTGCATAGCAATTAAAACTGTCAATGAAATAGCAATCACGATCGCTATCGAAGTACTTAATGCGGTATTTGTATGAATTAATATTTTCACAAGAAAACGTCTTCACAAATGCAATACTCCAGGGGAAAGTGCTTTCGTCTCGGTATTGCTCAAGCAAACGATTTGTAAGATTTTGTAACGAGCTGTAACTGTAATTGAGATGCCTTACTATTTAATAGACTAGGAAATTTATTACGAAACTAAACGCGATATTTTGTAAGGGGGAAAATGAAAGTTCGGCTTTTTGGGAAACTGTGCCATTTCTTATTTATGTAGATGCCTGGATGAGCTCACGACCCGCCTGTAGTCACAGCCTAGAGACATCTTAATGAGAATTCTGCTCCCCATCCTGAAACATTAGGTCGAATGACATGGCTGCTTCGCGATATAAAGAAGCAGAATGGTTAGATTAATACTGCACCATCACTAAAATTCAAATTATTCTTCTTTTGGTGCATTTAGGAGAACAGATTTTTTACTGGTGGTAGGACCTCTTGTGAGTCCGCACGCGTAGGTACCACCACCCTGCCTATTTCTGACGTGAAGCAGCAATGCGTTTCGATATGGTGCAGCCGTTGTAACAATACTGATACCTTAGAACGCATATCTCAAGGTGGTGGTGAAGGCATTCACGTTGTAGATGTCTATGGGCTCCAGTAACCACTTAACACCAGATATGCTGTGAGCTCGTCCAACCATCTAAGCAATAAAAAAAAAATTATAGGAAAACTCGGAGTTTTCCTGCTAGATCGATCAGGAATAAGGAAACTCGCTGGAGAACCACGATAATCGACAGAGCTCAAAACATTGCGACGTTGAAGTGGCAGAAAAATTCTAGAGTGGTGAACGCGTACCAGAAGACGTAGCCTTGGTAGGTCTCCCACAACGTGGACCAGCATGCAGACAGCGCAGAGCGGTCATTGCTTCGAGAGCTGGTGGAGGCATGTGCCCAGCAATGGACGTCAGTGGGCTTATAGATAAATAATGACATGAACAATTATGCTCATTAAACTTATTACATAAAAAACTGTTAAAGTATGCACGGCTCTTAAGATCTTCGAATAGTAGGAAAGTTTTCTAGACCATAAAATATTTTACTTCACAGAAACCATTAATTACTTGACTTCGCAAACAAAACAAAAATAACTTGTCATTTTGTTCAATATTTATAATTAAATAAATTTTATCAGTAATTGAATCGAGGCTAATTAGTTACGTAAGCACTCATTGATTTTACGGCAAAAAATTCAAGAATTTCAACGACTTACGTGACATTCTCACATTCAGTATGTAGGACAGAAAATGTCACGCACTTAAAATTAAAAAAATCGCACACTCTACCCACACGCGTACAGCTTCAAACAATTCTCTTTAGTAATCTTACAACTAGCTCCCAAATGCTTTGAAATTTTACAAACAATTAATAGCACACACGGTCATCAGCTGGCCCCGAAGAAGGATTTCCTGGATTATGAGGGAAACAAAGACTAAATAATACACATACTTACTTATATACGTTTAAATATAAACATAAATAGATATTAAAAATTCAGATAAAAAGCAAACAAATCTATTGACCACATGAATTGCAAGATAATGCATCGCCGCGTCAGTCAAAATTATTAGTGACTTCTACGGTTATTAATATTTTATCGCTTGTTTCAGGACGATTATTTTGACATTACTAATAACGACGTGTTTTTTTCTTTGCAGGTGTAAAAACATCGTGAACCTCATCGTGCATAGTTGACCCATTCACGAACCGACGCCGGAAACATTATGCCTTATACGTACAACAGTATCTGAAGACGGACCTGAACACCTTAACAGTCGAGACACCGTTAATTATGCCAATTTATTAACACGATCCAACATGGAAGAAGTAGCCGCGCGTCCCAGTTTAGAGTACATCCCGCCCCTACCCCCCAAAACTAAGCAAAGGGGCTCGACTACATTCACACAAATAAGAACAGAAGATACAAGTTCGAAATCGAACGGTATTAATGCTGAACGCAACATGGATTCGCTGAGTTCAATGCACTCGCTCGTCCTTAATTCTAAGACCCCATCCACAACGGTATTCATAGCGGCGACCCAGTCAGAACGACCCGCGAGCACGCCAACCACGGACGCTCTCAACGGTCCACACGTGGTCACAATCAGAATCAACACCGATTCAAACAAACCGAAAGCCCCCAAAATATCGAGCGTGCACCTCAAAAGCGACATCGACTACGATCATTTCAAAACAAGCGACGTATGCAGAAAAAGCAATAACAGCCTCGTCAGATTGAACGTCGATGAGACTACACCCAAAATTCTTGAAAGAGAAGGAAATAATAAGACTGATATAGCTCCTTATATATATTGTAACTCATTCAGTTCGATGACCAGTATGGTTATGTCGAGCGGTCAATGTTCTCCGAGTGACACTTTAGATTCGGGAACATGCAGCGACCTTGACGGCACCCCACCTCCGCTACCCAAAAAGAAGTCATTCAAATCCAATTCCGCAAAGAAAATTGTGTCGGTAACTTTGATTCGCAACGGCAGCCAAGGCGAACTAGATTTTGAAGATAACGACTCGAACATATCGTGCGATTCTCTGAACAGCAGTGAATTCAGCGGGAGCGTTCACACCGACGAAAGTCACAGTGACTATGGCAAGAAAGATAAGAAACTCGATATACCAGTCGCGCCGGTGATGCCAGTGTGCAACAAAATGGCCGTCAAAGACAGCTTTCTGCCGCAAGGTCTACTTCAAGACATCAGAGACCGCTCGGCCAAACTAAGCACAGTCGAAACGGAAAGTCAAAACAATGAACACGACAACGAAGAAACGAACCAGAATATTAATGAAGATGCTAATGTCCCTAAAGAAAGTGCACAGCTCACTTCGTTCCGTCTGGTTTCGCAGTTTGATAGACAGACAAAGAGCGTAAGCGAGTCATTACCGAACCTCTGCTCCCAAACGCCTCTAATAAACGAAAGTACTTACGAGGAAAGAAAGAAAGAGGACAAAATAAAACAAGAGCAAATGTTTTATAGCAGTCATTATTTTGATACGGACAAGTTTTACGATTTCCATCTAAACGAGAAGCAATTTGACGAGAATGACTCATTGAAAAGTGTGAGTGTTAGCAAAGTGGACAGTGAAGTGAGTGATTTAGAATATTTCGCCGGCGTCAAGGACTTCAAGAACGAGGACATGCCCTCGACTATTAAAAGTTCAAAGGGTACGATCCGTGGCGTTAAGAATCGCGTCCGGGCCGGCATAGCGACCTTCATACAAATGCAGAATACGACAAAGGTAATTTTTGCACGTTTAAAATTCGTCTGACCTCTAAAAATGTATTGCTTGTGTGCAATAATACTATGTAATATAATAAAAAATGCACTTTTACGATTTAATTTCGCGTTTTCGATTGTAATTTTATTATTTTCGTTAAAGAAAACTGTAAATTATTAAAATAATAACCGTCATCACCTAGACTATACATTAGACACTGTATAGCCATAATAGTAAGACTATACATAAATAATAAAAAATCTTACGTTATGGACGTTTTTTCCCGATTAGGGTACCCCTCCGCATCGTCCCATAAGGAACTTCGTTCCAAAAACGAGAAAATAAATTATACCGTAAAAGTAGTTTTAGTTATCTACGACTCGCAAAATGACATTGAAGCATTCCAATTAGATTTTAAATCGGATTTTATTTGTTGTACCATGAACCTTAGCATTTGTTTGTACTATAATACGGCACTACTGAGCTTATAGTATAGTATCTGATGATGATGGTGGATAACAAGGCTCTGTATCGATCACTATTAAAATAATTTTTTAAGCCCTTTGCAAATGTTGGTTCTTTTTCGTTCGTTTCAATGTCTTTACACACGTTCGAATTTTAGAGGTCACTCTCGTAAATTTTGAAAGTTGACACGACTGGTGGAGATTTCGCGTCAGTCGCAATATTATTGACTAGCTTTTGCCCGCGACTTCCGTCCGTGGAATAGTTACTTTGGCATAAAGCTAAATTTTACCCCCCACATCGTTTACATAGAAAGTGAAGATATTTTTGAATTATAGAATGTTAAGGAGCTATTTAAACCCTTATTTTGAAACATTCTTTATTGGTGCTCCACTTGTATTGCTCTTACCGTGATGTTATATAGCCTATAGCCTTCCTCATATCTAATACTAAAATAATTTTTCAAATCGGACAAGTAATTCCTGAGATTAGCGCGTTCAAACAAACAAACTCTTCAGCTTTACAATATTATTAGTATAGATTATCGGAACCTTCACGGTGCGTTCTCTCGAACAACAGCCGACAGGGAATACCGCAAATAAACAATTGAAATACGTCGTTTAATTACAATTCATGATTAGAAACAGACGCTTTTTAGCCTCTCTCTTAGTTCCATTGAAAACAAAATAATAAATGCGACAAAAATATTTCTAGTAAGTTGTTTTGTTGCGGGCTGTATTGGCCGGTTGCTGATGATAAAGAAAACTTTTGCTTTGTGCTGTAATACGGTTTATTTGTATGTTTATACACTTGATATTTTATTAATGTGATAAACACGTCCGTTTGCGGTGAAAAGTAAAAAAGGAAGAGACTGACATCAACAATGTTGCCAGTCATATAAATTTTTTTTCATACTAAAATATTGGAGTTGCAGTTTACAGATTAGGCTTATAAACGTTAAATCGCTGCTTCCTATGAAAGCAAAAAGGTCGGATTCGATATTTCGTTTTTCAATCAAAATTTTTATCGCGAATGTATCTCCCCCACCTACCACCTATACAACGGCAATTACACCAATTAGTCATCCACACGTCATTGTCAATTGATTAGTAGTTTCTCTGATGCCTCCTTCCGCTTTCCTAGACCGGTTTTAATTGCAGTAAAACATAGTTTTCCTACGTCTGGTTGTGTGTCGGAAGTTTTCTTCTGAACGCATCAATAGAATTACTTGGCGCAAACTGACATGGGTGAAAGTGACACGGAAAAGGTTTTTTTCGAAAACTGTTTTGTGAGATATCTGTGGAGTTCGATATATATTTGATTATTTATAGTACCATTTTAATACGATCATATAATAATACTAGGTGACCCGGCAAACGCTGTTTTTCCATATAATCTATATCTAGGAAAGATAAATAATCTAAATATCTAAATACCAACTGCAGCGCCATCAGCCGGGCTAATTTGTGAATCTAAGCCATCCAGGGCGCCACCCAAACGCATACAAAAAAAATCGTTCAAATCGGTCAATTCAATATATATACCTAGTCAGGTCATAAATTCTGTCACATGTTTAATGTAAAATAATTGAAACAAGTTTATTCATTATGTAACCATTCATATACCAAAATGAACTTAACAAAACATAGATTCATATGATACTAAAGTTCAATCTGCGCGGCCAGTCGTCTATCGCAGCACGAACGAGGTCCATGTCAATATTGGCGGCTGCCTTAATCAAGGATGTCTTGAGTGACTCCAAATTGGGATGAGCCTTGAGCACGCCTTTTTCTCCAAGTATTGCCATATCTTGTAATCTAACGGATTCAAATCTGGACTGGAGGAGGGCCAGTCTTCGTGCCGGATGAAGTCGATTTCACGCGCCGCCAGCCAGTCTTGTGTGCTTTTCGCTCTATGAGCTGGCGCCGAATCTTGTTGGAATACCCAGTGCCTGTTATTGAACATGGTATTTGAAACAGGTTCCACAAGGTTCGTCAGGAATGTATTTTGATACACAACTGCATTCGTTTTTACACCTTTCTCACAAAAATGTACCTCTGTTAAGCCCCAATAAGAAACTCCCAACCATACCATGAGCGAGGATGGAAAACGACCTCGTTGGACACGCGGAATACGGTTGCTCGCTTCTTCACTACTGTGTGCATACACCTTATCATTTTGTTTGTTGTAGCTCTCTTCTACGGTAAAATTTTTTTCATCCGAAAAAAGAATTTCCCGATATTTTTTTCCCGCGTACCGCTTCAATAAAGCGCGGCATCTCTTCAGTCTCAGGTCCATTAGACAAGCATTCAAACGATGTCCTGTTTTTCTTCGATATGTCCGAAGCCCTAAGTCTTCATTTAACACCCTTTTCACCGTGGTTCTGCTTAACCCCATCTGAAGAACCAACAGTTTCTGCTTACGTTTGGGATTTCTTTGAAAACGCGCCTTCACAGCTTTTATCACTGCTGGAGTCCTAACAGACCGAGGGCGACCACTTCTTGACCTGTCATCTACACTAGAGTCTTCATTGTATCGTTTGATGGTACGATAAACGAATCTTTTGGTTATATTCAAATTTTTCAGTATGTTAAAAATTTGAATTGGCGCGTAACCGCAACGATGCAACGCAATAACTGCAACACGNGGATCTTTTTAGGAAGCTTAGTGTCGCGCAGCAATCTATGGAGAGGGCTATGCTTGGTATTTCTCTACGAGATCGAATCAGAAATGAGGAGATCCGTAGAAGAACCAAAGCTACTGACATAGCCTGTAGGATTAGTTAGCTGAAGTGGCAGTGGGCAGGTCATATAGCGCGAAAATCGGACGGCCGATGGCGCAGAAAGATACTCGAGTGGAGACCACGTACTGGCAAACGCAGTGTGGGACGGCCACCTATCAGATGGACCGACGACCTGGTGAAAATTGCTGGGTCACGTTGGATGCAAGTGGCCACGGACCGGCCGCACTGGACATCAGTTTGAGAGGCCTATGTTCAGCAGTGGACAGTAGACAGGCTCATGATGATGATGATGATGATGCTTCTACCGGGGAACGAGCTCACGGTTCACCTGGTGTTAAATGGCTGCCAGAGATCATAGACATCGACAAAGTAAATGCCGTCACCCACCTTCAGACATGAGTTCTAGATCTTAGTTGTATAGTACAACCGCTGCCGTACCCTTCAAACCCGGAACTTACTACTGCTTCGCAGCAAAAATAGACGAGGTATCGCCAGTGTAAAAGTATTACACATCCGTCCAAATTCTTTGTTACTACCTTAGAGATTAGAATCTTCAGTGATAATGAACAAAAAAAAACAAAAAAAACATGTGTACCTATTTGAATTGACATTTAGCTTCACAATATTAACATCTGACCAAATCCGAATGATTCTAGAACGGCTAGCCAGCGAATTTAAATATAAGAAGCTTTAAGAACCTAACCTATATTCGTTGTTCACGAGAGACCTTGACTTTTCGTTTGCAATGCAAGAACTTTCGTTCTGTCAAGCGCTAAGAATTAAAAATAAAAAACGTATTTGCATACATTGCTACACGTTTTATTTCACTCGTCTGTTGAGTGCCTCGTATAATTGTGCGGTTGGCGTTTCTTTTAATGTTTTCTATGTTGAGAATATGTATCATTCTTTAATGCATTGATCTATACTAATATTATAAAGAGGAAAGATTTGTTTGTTTGTTTGTTTCGAATAGGCTCCGAAACTACCGGACCGATTTGAATAATTCTTTTTCCATTAGAAGCCGACATTGTCCCTGATGAACATAGGCTACTTTTTTTTAAATTTTTTTAATTTTTTTTTTGGTTTCATGTGTGTTTTAATGTTTCCGAAGCGAAGCGAGGGCGGGTCGCTAGTCTTTTTTATAACTACAGACAATAGCGTTTAAAATGTTTAGTTCAACGGATATATTCCAAGCCAACCATTAGCTCTTAAAACGAAATTAGAATATATATTTTTTACCGGTGGTAGGAACTCTTGTGAGTCCGCACGGGCAAGTACCACCGCCCTGCCTATTTCTGCCGTGAAGCAGTAATGCGTTTCGGTTTGAAGGATGCGGCAGCCGTTGTAACTATACTGAGACCTTAGAACTTATATCTCAAGATGGGTGGCGAATTTCCGTTGTAGATGTCTATGGGCTCCAGTAACCACTTAACATCAGGTGGGCTGTGAGCTCGTCCAACCATCTAAGCAATAAAAAATAAAGTTAGAAATAGCTTCCGTTTTCTCACTGAACTTATATTTCCCATTTAATATACCTAATGATAATACTTATAGAAGGAAAAGGTAATCGAATCGATATTACTGATGTAGCTTTGATCGTCCGTAACCCGAAAATCTATACCGAAACGTTCAAAACTATGAAACGTACATAATAAATATGTGATTAAGCCGAAAACAGTTTAATCTGAAATATAATGGTACTTAGTATTTAGATACCTACTTCGAATTTCGTATCGTTTTTTATTACTACCAAAGACTGCGCTGGTTGCGTGTCCTCCGCTTTAAAGTTTGTGTAGGAAGTATCCAAATTTTTATT